CCTGATTCCACCCACTGTGTGGAGTAGGGAGCAGCTCCGAACCACAGCGCCCCTAGAGGACAGAGTGGAACTGCACCACAGGGTTTCCAAGGCTGTCAGTCTTCACAGAAGCAAAGCCCAAACCACACCCACTGCCGTGGAGTCCATTCTGACCCACAGCGCCCCTAGAGGACAGAGTGGAACTGCACCACAGGGTTTCCAAGGCTGTCAATCTTCACGGAAGCTGATTGCTTCATCTTTCAACTGCCTCATTCTTTAATTTTGAAGTTTAAATTCCTCTGCTCAGCACACAGGGCCCCCAGTGAGCCCAGCTCTGCTTGCACCATCATCCGTCCCCCCTGCCACTTCCTCAAGGTACCCTCAGCTCTGGCCAGTGGAAGGATGTCATAGCTTTGTAAGCTATGTAGCTATACAGCCCACACCTTCAGAAGAGTATCACACAGTGTGAAACCTCATGGGCCCTCTGTGCCCTTCTCGCTGGCTCCGCCCACCTCACCCAGTGAGAGCCACCGCCACCCTGAACTCTGTCTTCATGATTTCTCTTTGCGCAGCTTGGGTTTCTGAGACTCGTTCAAGTTGATGGGTGCAGCTGGGGGTTATTCGTTTTCATGGCTGTATAGTGTTCCTTTGTCTGAAAGCACCGTAATCCACATGTCCATTTACTACTGAGAGACATTTGGGCTGTGCCTCATGCTTGGCTACTCCGGACAATGCTGCTATGAACGTCTGGGCTCGTGCCTCCTCAGGAGTGTCTCTAGGAAGGCGCCCTTGTGGGATTCCTGGGCTGTGGGGTGTGTGCATCCCTGACTTTACTGACCTCAAGCTGTTTTCCAAAGCACTGTGCTAGCGGACCGGCCTAGCTGCCCTCATCCTCCCAGCACTCGGTTAAATAGACGCGCTGCCTTCTCTCCAAACACAGCTGCCTCTGCCCGGGACAGCCTGCCCACTCCTCTGCTTCCTCACACCTACTCCGCCCTCGGCTGAGAAGCCCGCCCTGACACCACCAGGCCATCCAGCTGCCCCTCCTTGGGCTCTCCCGGCACCCTGTACCTTGTCTAGCACACTCTGCTGGAGCAGGAGTTACCCATTGACTTGCCTGTCTTCTCGATGGCATGCAGGGCTCCCTGAAGGCAGGGCCCTGTCTCGTTCACGGAGGCCTCTCTGGACTCTAGCACAGGGCCGGCTGCATAGTGGGTGGGTGCATACTACGACCTCAATAAATGGTGGTGAATAGGTGAGTGAGGGAGTCAGGGAGCATGGGGAGGGCCTGGGAGTGATGAGCTAGGACTGGAGGTTCAGCCGTGGCACGGAGGCCATGCCATCAGCCTCTAGGGCCACAGCCTGCTCTGAGGGGTGGGTGTTCAGCCCCTGAAGGGAGGAGCGAGGGGTTAAGCACTTCCCCGCCCCTTCCTGGGGATCCCTTCCACCCACGTATGCAGACAAGACAGCAGTGTGGTTAAAACAGTGTAAGAATCCAGGCTCTGCCACTTACTGGCTGTGTGACTTTGGGCACGTCACTGAACCTCTCTGTGCCCCAGCCTCCTCATCTATAAAATGGGGCAAATCCATAGCTCTTCCCTCATAGGGTTGTTGTGAAGGTTAAATTAAATGAGCTAATGCTTGGAAATCGCTTACAATATGATTTATATCACATGATAAATGCTACATAAATGTTTATTAAATAAAAATGACTAAGTGAGTTGGGATGTCTTCAAACTCAAAACCAAACTCACTGCCATGGAATAGATTCTGACTCATAGCAATCCCCTTTGGGTTTCCGAGGTGGTAAATCTTTACAGAAGTAGATCTCTCAGGCTACTTTCCTTGGAGTGACTGGTGGGTTTGAACCGTCAACCTCTGGTTAGCGTCAAACATTCATTCCCTGGACAACTGCGTGCATCCTCACTGGGAGGGGCTCTTCCGTGGGTCTTCCCTGTTATTATTGAGCCCATCAGCCTGTTCGCTTCTTCCTAATGGCTCCCAAGATACATTTATTTATTTATTTGTTGTTTGTCTACTGTCTGCTCCCCCATTAGCCTGGAGGTTCCCTGAGAGCAGGGCCCATGTTGCTGTGCTCATGCCTGGGTTCCCTGTGGGAGATGCTTGGGGAGGCTGCACCCTGTCCTGGAGAAGTTCAGGGTCTGGAAGGGGTGGAGGCAGGTGATGCACGGCAGAGACAGCCTGAGAAGGGTCCTGACAGAGCGGGCTTCAAGATGCTGAGAAGCCTTGGTGGCGTGGCTGCTAACCCAAAGGTCAGCGGTTTGAATCCCACCAGCTTCTCACAGGAGAAAGATGTGGCAGTTTGCTTCTGTAAAGATTTACAGCCTTGGAAAGCCTGTGGGGGCAGTTCAGGAATCAAGTCAACCCCAATGGGTTTGGTTTTTGTTGGTTTCAACATGCTGGGAAGGGGGCACGGAAGAGCAGGCCAGTGAGTTCAGGAACACATTCTGCAGGAGGTAACACAGGAACTCGGTTTGAAAACCGTCGCTCTGCATGTTGCAGGGCTTCTGTGCACAGAGCCAAGGAGAGCAGCGACCAAACGAAGGAAGGTAAGATGGGGGATAGTACGTTGTCAGTTACCAGACTGTACTGCACAAAGTTGGTGGTGACGCTCAAGTCGTTGGCTCGGCAGAGAAGTGGGAGGGTCCTTCTGGAATGAGGAACATCTGGGCAAGGGCTTGGGTGTGCAGTGCCCAGGAAAGCCTACGATCGGAACCAAGGCGTTCAGAGCGTCCAGAGCAGCCTCGTGCATCCAGGGCAGGTGAGGTGGGAGGGGCCAGACCACCACGATCTTCCATCACCTCCCCCAAGCTTAGGCTTCCTCACTTCCTCCCTCTAGGGTGCTGGCTGGGGGTCCTGGGCAAAATAGCCTCTTGAAGGAGCATTTAGGACACGGTCTCCCTGAGCATGCTCTTCAAGTGCCACACTGTCTGACAGAGGGGGCTCGGAGAGAAAACACTGACAGCTGGCATCATTCAGAGGAAAGTGACAATAAACCAACAGGGCTGTAGGTCCCCAAACCAAAGGTTCCGTTACCACGGCAACAGAGTGACAGGGAGACCCTACAATCGGAGGAGGAGATGGGGAGCCGGCCAGGAACGTTCAGAGAGAAACCTCAGCAGATAGCGGGTGGGGGGCACAGAGACGGCGCTCAGGGCCGGGACCCAGGGCCCCGGTCTCATCCAGTGTCTGTGGTGGACAACTGGGTGCTCCTGGTCGGGACCCCTCCTCCCAGCCTTAGCTTCCTCATCTGCACAGAAAGGCACTTCCATAGCCCCCCAGTGCTCCTCGCTTTGAGAACCTTTGCCCTGAAAGTGCCAGAACGTTCTAGAGTTCTGTGCACAAAGCCGTCGGCAGCAGCTGCACTTACTACAGAACAGAAGCAAGACAGTAGGACGGGTGATAGCGCCCCTCTGTGAGGCAGACTGAACGCACAGGTTTACTGTGCTCATTGGCCCAGGGGGACAGGCTTCCTGGATCCATTTTCAGAGCTGGCTGACTTGGGCTGACCACTCCCCACGACAGCCTCCGCCTCGGGGACCAGCTGTGCGTATTCCCCAGCCATCCCAACCTTTGTGGGGGCAGCAGGCCTTCAGCTTCCCCGCCCCCCCACCTGCTCCAGGCCTGCTCGCCTCCCCCTCCCTGATATCCTCAGGCCTCAGTCGGCCCCCAACTCTAACTCAGTCCTCATCTGCAGAAGGGGTGACATTTCCCCGCCCCACTCATGCCCCGGATTTGTGGCCAATGACTGCAGGCCTAGGAAAGCTTGTAAAACCGCTAAGTGGTGTCCCTGCACTGAAAGGCAGGATGGGGAGGCAGAGGTGTTGCCACTAGCCTGCTGGATAACCCCGGGTAAGTTACTTAACTGCTCTGGGCTTTCGTTTCCTTATGAGTAAAACAGGGTCCCCAGCAGCACCTACTCCACAGAATGGTTCACACTCAGTGTTGATTGACTATGACGCTTATCACCATCATTGTCACTACTGCTTGTTATTATCATCACCCGGGCTCTCCTTAGCTTGGAAGCCCAGAGAGCCAATGACAGCTCTTCCTAACGTTCACATCTCACCTGGCGGTGGGTGGGGAATCCCCCCGGGGTAGGGGGCAGGTCTGCCCCACGGCCAACTGACTGGCACCCAGACGTCACCTCCCCTTCTGGAAACAGCTGAGTCTTGCCCCTTTGCCGTGGGCACAGCCAGTGTTAGTTCCGTGTGTCTGGAGTCAGAGTTCCTCCCAGGGTGGACACTCCAGGTGGGCGATGGAGCCCACAGTACTAAATCTTACTCCTAAATCCACGCTGTCAAAAACACCATCACCCACCTGCATAACTTCTGCATGACTCAAGATAAATGAGGCAGATCATCTCAGTTGCTGGAAGAATTTCTTTTCCGACACACAGGATGACCAGTGCCAGTTTAGTTTAAGAATTCACACCCAATGCCACAAATAGAGTTCCCTAATGGTGCAGTGGGAGAAACTGGGATACTCGTTTTCTCAACTGACTCTTCTATGCTGTGTTGGCGTCATAGCTTCTAGCACCTTCCCCAGCTCAGCCCAGCTTCACCCAGCAAAAGACACTGAACTGCCCTAAGAGGAAGTCAACTAAACCCCCACTTCCTGGACGTCCTGGGAAGGCCACTGCGAGTTAAGGGCAAGGCCAGACGCCAGAACATTAAAGGATATATTTAACGGGACTGACTTTTCATGCAAGATTCTTTATTTTAACAACAAAATCACTGCTATCAACTGTGTAAAAAAGAAATGTACTGTGCATCACTGAAAATTGCACAGAAACTAGAAGGGGATGCTTACTCCGTACCTCCGTACTCCCGAGGGGACTTACCTTAAAGGAGAGAGAAAACGCCATGTCATTCCTCTTTATTTAAGTGGGGCTTCTAAAATGAACCTTGGGTGGTGTAGGAGATGTGCGCCTGGCTGTCCCCTCCCCAGCGTCCGGGAGCCACATGACTGCAGGCCCCCTCCCTCGGCCCGGCACTCACCTCCATGCTGTACCTCTCGACCGTCCTCCTCAGGGGGTCCACAGCCTGCCAGCAGATCAGGATGCACAGGTCAATCAGCAGCATGCCCCCCACGATCACGAGGAGCTTCTGGTCCTTGATGATCTGCAGAGAGGGCGGGAGCAGAGGGAGTGGACGTGAGAGAGAGCTCCCCAGACAGCAGCTGAGGGGCCGGATGACAGGAGCGACCGCATCACGTCACCCCAGCTTCCAAGTCTCTGTGACTGCCCACACCCCTCTCCTTGCCTTGGCATTCAAGGCCTTTCCTGAGCTAGGCCCCAACCACGCCCCACACTCTCACAGGCACTTTGCTGGAGCCTGACCACTCCTGAGGCTCTGGATGAGCTGTGATTCCACCTTCCAGACCTTTGTGCGTGCTAGGTCTTTTGTCTGAAATGCCTGTGCTTTCTGTTTGACAAACTCCTAATAATCCTTAAAGACCCAGATCAAATGCCACCTCCTTCATGAAGTCCTCTCTGACTCCCACACAGAACTAATTGCTCCCACATTGTTGTTGTTAGTTGCTGTTGAGTTGATTCTGACCCATGGCGAACCCACGTGCAGAACTAATTACTCTCACAGAAGTTCATTCATAAACTTCATTAGCAGCAGCAACAGCAGCAGTAGTTACAACAATGAGAAGAGTGAACATTTAATGAACACTCACTCTGTGCCATGGTCCGGGCTGACGATTTTATATGCATTGGCTTATAAACCCAAAAACCAAACCCACTGCCATTGAGTCGATTCTGACCCACAGTGACCCACAGGACAGAGTAGAACTGCCCCACAGGGTTTCCTAGGCTGTCAACCTTTACAGAAGCCAACTGACTCATCTTTCTCCTGTAAAGTGGTAACCAGTCTTTTGGCTAGCAGTTGAGTGGTTTAACCACTGTGCCACCAGAGCTCCTGTAAAGGCAGTTACTAATTACTATTTCCATTTCATGGTTGAAGAAACTGAGGCTTAGTGGGAGGTTTGAACCGCCAGCCTTCTGGGAAGCAGTCAAATGCCTCAGGCACTATGCCACCAGAGCCCCTGTCACTTGCTCAGTGCCATCTATGTGTCACTAAGAGGTGAAGCCAGGGTTTGAACCAAGCTCCTCTTCTCTTCAGAGTCCACACACTTAACCATTTTCACCACTGACCACATACTATGTTAACTTGTCTACACGTCTACCTTCTTCAGTAAACTGGGAGCCCCTGACAGAAGGGAGGGCAGTTTTATTTCTTTGAGTACCCTCAGCATCTACCTGTGTCTGCCATATAGTAGTAGATACTGAAAAATTTGCTGGACAGGATTAGGTATGTCTATGCAGGGGAGAATGTGCCCATGACCATGTAGAGTTGGCAGACAGTTTCTACAAATGTATCGGTATGTTCTGTAAGAACTCCCAGGTATATAGCAGAGCTGACAAGGCATAAGGTTGTAGTCACTTCTTGGCCACAGCCAGCTACCCAGAGGGAGCAAGTAGTTGGACCTGTGGGCTCGGGACTATAGTCACAGGGGACATCAAGCTCATTTGGCGTAACATACTACATAAAACATTGTTCCACATCCTACTTTGGCGAGTAGCGACTGGGATCTTAAAAGCTTGGAAGCAGCCATCTAGATGCAACGATGGGTCTCACTTTGTCCAGAACAAAGAAGAACAAAGAAAACCAAAACTCATGGAAACAATTAGTCCAAGTGACTGGTACACCATGTGATCCTCAGCCTACACAACTATGAGACCAGAAGAACTAGATGGTACCCAGCTATCACTGTCAACCACTCAGAGGGGGATCTGTGTAGGAGATCTTGGATAGAGAGGGAGAA